GCCGGCGGTGGAGGCTGTGGCGGCGGCCTTAGGCAATATGGACAACGCCGGGAAGGAGCGCGAGGCGGTCCAGCTGATGGCGGAGGCGGAGAAACGAGTTAAGGCCTCTCACTCCTTCCTCAGAGGGCTGTTTGGGTGAGTGTCACACCGCGCGTGCCCTGAGGGGGTCTTCATCTCAGGCCCATTCCCGGTCGGTTGCCCGCCCCCCCCCAACACGTCCCCCAGGGAGCCTCTAGGGCCCCCAGACCTCCGCACAACGCGGTCTCTAAAACCCTTAGAAAGCCCCAGGGGTCCCCAACGCCGACGCAGCCTCCAGAGATTCGCCAGGGCCCGCAGGTCCCCCGGCTGTGGCGTCCCCGCCGCTGTGTCCCCTCGGGCACGGCGCTGTCCTCGCGTTCCTGCGGGGACCCCACGGCCTCCCGGGTCCGCGGCAGCCCGGGCTGTACCTGGGCCCCTTTTGTTCATTCGCCACGGGTGAACCCGCGGGGCTAGGGACCTGTGAGGCGTGGACGGGAGGCGGCCCGGGGTCCCCCGGGGGCTGTTCGGCGGACCCTTGGCTGCGCCTCGGGGGGCGTCTGGCGGGCGGGGCGCCCCCGGGCCCGTCTTCATTGCGCCCGGAGACCTTCAGTGAATAATCGTTGGATGAACTAGTGTTGTCCCTCACCGGAGATGGGGGTGACAGCCCGGGCCTCCTGCTGCCTGGCGGATAACGCGGCCCCGGTTTAAGGCAGCGGCTCCCGGGCATCACCTTCGTTCCCGCCACCCCTCCGCTCTCTGCCAGGGAAGGTCTTAAATTTGGACTCCCCGAAAAGCAAGGCCTGTCGTGGCATGATCCTTGGAAGGATTATGGGCAGGTGCACATGCGAATGATTCAGCTGTTTATAATTAGCGAGGCAGAAACGTCGTGATGTTTTGTTTTGCTTTCCTCTTGGAAGTGGAAGATCCTCTGCCGACACCAAGAGCGTGTTTTTATTCTCGAGAAGGGCCAGTGGCCCATACTTAACAATTGCGGTATTTAGACGCGGTTTTGTTTCTGTACCAGTTGGGTTTGGAATCTGCTTGTGTGGCCAGCTTCGTTCTTTTGGGTGTAGTACTCGGCCGTGGTTGACACATGCCCGGGATCTGCTTCAATGCAGGTTCCACGCAGCGCACAGTGGTGTGGGAGGCACAGATCCTAAAGGTGAGGGTTCCTGTCCTCAGGAACCTTCCAGAGGGTGCTTATCCCGGCTGGGTTTTAAATTCCTCATGTGATGTGTGGTCTGAAATACAGCAATGAATTCTAAGTTTGCTCCCCTTTCAGAGTTACCACGGTACCTGAGGAACACTGCCCCGTACCTGATGCTGACACCAAACAATACAGCTCCTTTCTCTGATTCGGAAAACGCTTCAAATTTATTCCCATAGAAGTTAATGTCGGAGTACCGCATGCCAGGAGATGTTTTAATGTCACAGCATATGTCAAGTCAGGGTGTCTTTCCCTGGAAGAGAATTTGTAATAGGCAGAAGTAAAAGCATCACAGCCCTTGATACTTATTTCAGGGAAACATTGCTGTTTTAAGAGGTGATGCATCTTTGTGAAACTAGGCTAAATCTTGTAGTCATTCCTAAAAGGATTTTGAAAAGCCTTTTTTTTTTTTGAAGGCTTTTTGTTTTGAAAGAAACATGTGGGGTTTTTTCCCTTGGCTGGTGATCACCTGTTTTATTTTATTTTATTTTATTTTATTATTTTATTTTATTTTATTATTTTATTATTTTATTTTATTATTTTATTTATATGTTATGTTATGTTATGTTATGTTGTTATGTTAATCCTCACCAGAGGATGTTTTTTCATTGACTTTTAAAGAGAGTGGAAGGGAGGGAAGGAGAGAGGGGAGGGGAACATCAATTGGTTGCCTCCCACAGGTGCCCTGAGGGTGGCTGGGGTCCAACCTGCAACCCAGGCATGTGCCCTTGACCAGAAATCGAACCCCGAGACCCTTCCATTCTCGGGCAACGCACTAACCAGTGACACCAGCCAGGGTGGTCTTTTAATGAAATAAAATATTTGAAAGAGTTTTGTACCATGTAAGTGTTATTTATACTATGGAGCGCTGTGTTATTTTCAGTAATTACTGGCTCTAGGAAAGCTTAGGAAGAAGAGTACTCAGTTCTGTGGGGTTTTTTTTCATAGTAGTGTATAATTATTTGAAGCCTATAACCGGGCCTATTTTCTCTCTCAGTGACAATAGGAAGGCAGATTCTGTATCAGTTTTAGATATTTAGAACCTTACATTGTGTCTGGCATCACTTGTGGATGTCATCATGTCATGTCCTTCTGGGCTGGAATACGTGTTTCTCCACCCTGCTTCCCTTCCCTTAGCTGTAGAATTTTCCCAGGTACTTGTTATCTTTTACTTAAGCGACAGTGTAGTCCTCCATGTCAGACTCCTGAATTAACAGAACACACATGCTGCCCAATATGTGTGAGTATCATCAGTGTCATTTGAGCCTGATTATTTAAGAGCTGACAAGCTGGTGCTTTAAAGGAGCTGGGTGATGCTGTTTTGAGGATGTGGCAGCCATTAAAATGTGCTCAGCATTTTACAGATATTTTATATCATGTACTCAGTCTTAACTGCACATTAAAACCTATTAGGGCCTGTCCGGGCGTGGCTCAGCAATTGAGCGTCGACCTAGGATCCAGGTGATCGGAGTTCGATTCCCAGTCACGGCACATGCCCGGGTTGCGGGCTGCAGCTGATCAATGACTCTCTCATCATTGGTTTCTATCTCTCTCTCTCCCTCTCCTTTCCTCTCTCTGAAATCAATAAAGCTATATTAAAAAACAAAAAAAACACACAAAAACCTATTAGGAGTCCATCTTCTTCACTCATTGTTTATCCACCACCCACAGTGGTTTTGTGGCAATACTGTATCCTCAAAACTGTTCTATAGCTCTTCCTTTTTGTGACTTTCAGTACAATTAGATGAAAATATGCATTGTTCCCCAAGAAAAAGTCAGTCTTTTATCCTTTTGTGTGTAAGGCACAAGTCCCATGCTTGTTTTAGAAATGTCAGTGCTCCTGCCCCCCCATAGGATAAGAGATACGAAGGAGACACATCCATCACAAGAAACCAGTTAGTGAGTATTGTTTTGTGTTTCTTCTTGACTGCCAGTTAAACTGATGTGTTTTGTAGTTGTGGAATTAAATTAAAACTTACTCTTTCTGAATGGGTTACCATAGTACAGCAAAACTGCCAGCAAAAGAGTAGTGTTTTCATTTTATGTGTTTCCAGAGGTGAGCTATTGAATTTGATACTTGATTTCAAATTCCAATTTAGAATCTTAGTGAACTGCTTAGAATGATCTCTAAATGAACTGCTTAGTATGGCCTGGGTTTGACAGTAAGATAATTTTGAATGGCTAAGGCCTCTTACTATCGTCTCCATCTCGTTACTAGGAGACCAGATTGGGTATAGCCTGCACAGTGTACATCGAAGAGAGTGGCTGCTTAAGAATTGACAGTGGATGGTTAATGCTTTCTTCTCTTGCTTTTGAATGTTCCCCAGTATCAAAGCTTATAAAAGAGACATAAATCTGGCAGTATCAAAGTAAATTTAATGAAATAACTCTGTTGGGTTATCTTGAAATAATTATAAGTCTATAGTTTATCTGTTTGTGAAAATAGGGAATATTTCTTAATCATTGTAGACCATTAATTGTCAGTATTTTTTTTTTTTAAAGAGAGAAAAAATGAGAATGAGAGGGAAACATCAATTTGTTGTTTTACGTATTTATGCATTTATTGGTTGATTCTTGTATGTGCCCTGACTGGGGATCGAACCCACAACCATGGTGTATGGGAACGATGCTCTAGCCAACTGAGCTATCCAGCCAGGGCTCAGTATTCTTTACTTAGCTTTACTTTGACAAAGATTTTGTTTTAAGTTTTTCTAAAATGTGGGGATAGTGATACCATTTGTAAAGCATTTAGGTCTTCCTCAGTTACAATAGATATTCAAATGTAGATTGAACTTTAAAAAAAGTCATTAGCTTAGATTTAGTTAGAAATATGTAATATATTTCTTATGTACTAATATAAAAAATAGAATAATCTATATATTGGATAGCTTTTTTATATAATATATATGAACTATAATAATAAATATAGCTCTAATTCTCTCATTTACTAATTTGGTGACCCTGGCCAAGTAAATTGTAGCAGGAGCTCCTGTATTTCTCAGCTTTCAAATCGGCAGAGGGAAATAATCTACTTTTCAGAATTGTAAGGATTGAATGAGGTATCAGAATGCTTATTAAGCTGCACAGAGCTATATTAGTGTTATGTCATTTGGTTTTTCAAATTATAGTGTCAGGTTACAGTTTGTATATCAAATAATGAACTATTATCTGATTGGCCTTTTTTTATTTGCATTTTTGCAGTGTTCACCATTTATTCTCTCATTCTTGTGAGCCCTGTGAGGTGCAGATTTGTTTAGAAAAGGTAGAAATAACCCAGTGGTGGTGTGTGGCTCTAGAATGTAAGTTCCTGGGGAGTCCCTCTTATTTTATTGCTTTGGCACACCTCATTATGGTGAGCAAGGGGGCATCCCTAAAAGGAGTCACTGATACATGTCCGTGTGTGTTCACAATGCCAGGTTAATAGGGGAGACCTCCCCAAAAAGGCAATAGAGTCACATGCAGGTTACAAACAGAGTGGGAGCTTATGTAATAGAAGTGAGCAGAGTGTCTGACACCAAGGCGCAGTCACTGGTGGCATCACAGGTGGAGAGGCGGGTGTCATGCTCAAGCCAGGTGACAACAGTAGTGGCACGTGTCCAGTGGAGAAGTCAGGGAAGGCTCTGAGCATGACCCATAGTACAGCCAAGTTTGAGCATTGGGTGGTCAAGCTCTGAATTTTTATAGCCCACAAGGGGTGGAGGTCCCACTTATATCAGTGTCCAGATGGAATCCTTGTCCAGGTGTCCAGATTTGTGGTTTTCGTCATTCTAGGTCCCACTGCAAGGGAATTCCTGTTACGCCCCATTACCTTAGTCTTGACATAGCACTTGACATAACTGCCCTGGCTGACAGTGACTCCATTTTAGATTGTCAAAGGGGTCCAAAAAAGTCTGATCTGCTCTTGCTCTATTCAGTCACTAAGCACACAGTATGCATTAGGCACTTAGTGAATATTGGTGGAGAGTGTGAATGTGTGAAGGCTAATACAAATGCTGATTTTTTAAAATTTTTGTTTTTACTCTTTTGTCTGATTTTCAAGAGCAAAAGCAACAACATAAAGGGGAGTTCATGTGACTTTTATGTTTTACTTAAATATCGGTTTATTATAAATGTAGTAGCTTCATAAATAGTTTGTTAAACACATGCAGTGATTAGTAACTCAAAGAGGTGGTTAGAACTTGGGCCTATATAACATCTTAACAAAGAACAGTACATTCGTAGAGGTATCAAGACAAAAGGTTTTTGGCTTCCAAGAGCAGCAAACAGAAACATATGGAGTAAGATTTGTGCAGATTCATGTCAGTGCCAGTGGCACCAACTTTTTGTTTTTATGAAAGCCATAAATCTTTACCAGGAGAAGGAATTTATGGCAGTCTTTATTTCTCAGAAGTTTCTGCTTTTAGTCAGATAGGGGAAGCTCTGAGAAGGTATCTTTTTGTGTCTGCTGATTCTCATTTGCCTTCGGTTCAAAATAATCCTGATATCAAAGTGTTATATTTTGGGGTGGCATACTCTCATCCATTGCGTGCTCTTCCATTCTGAGTTTTGAATTTCTGACTTATGGTGTAGTTTCATATCTGTAAACGTTTGTTTAGTAATGTTTAAATTATACGAGATTGTTTTCCTCTGCCTTGTGGTGGTTTGGGGGAACATTTTTGTCAGCTGCAGTGTTTTTATTGCTATGTAGTGAGTTGGTATGGACACCTTTTTATTTTTTATTTTATTTTTTAGAGCGTATTGGAGTTTCTTGGGCCTACAATGCACTTGTTTCTGTGACGGAACAGAGGTTTGGGTGGCTAAAGATTTCTTAGTCTGAATGTTCTCTTCTGTTAGTACTGTTAAGGGAGGTTTCTTTAATGCATAGTGTCATGGAGTGGTGAGTAGGCCTAATGTGACAGTCCTCAGTTCTGTGATCCTTCTGTTTTAATAAGATTCTTAGTTTATTTCCACCATGTGCTTTCTTTCGCTTCACTACCAAGCCTTCACAGAGCTTCCTTTCACCTCTCTGAGAAGCAATGTCTTCTGGAGACTGCCACCTCTGGCCAACCCTTTCTTCTAGTTCCCCAGTTCTGGTGCTCTGGTTTTCTTGGTCGCACACCTGGCCTCAGTGTTGTTGTATGCTGTGCCCTGCCCCATGTGGTCCTTCCTTGCTAGTTATTGCTGCCCATGAACTGCCATTGCTAGGACCCTATGCATCCCCTCTTGTGTCTAGGTGTCCCCTCCTGACTTTCAGCTAGGGCTGTGTTTCTGGTTTTGCTAGTTTGGGGTTTTTATTTTTCCAGTTATATTTAAATGGAATCTTGTTAATTCTGTCTCCTAGTTTTACTGTCAGAATGGATAATGGCTGGTTGTGTTTGCTCCTTGTTTTGGAGGATGTGTGGACAAATTTTGTATTTAGGTAACCACCATTATCCTGTGGGGATTGCAAATCTCACCAGTATTTTTTAAATGTTGAAATTAAGTTTAAAGATTGAATTTTTGTAAAATTTGAAATTTAAAACCTCTTAGCAAGTCACGTAGTGTGTGGCTGGCTAAAAGGGTTACATTTATCTAGGAAATTTCCAAGTTTCCAAGTCATGATTATAGAAATGAAGTATCATGTGAAAATAAATTGCTTATGGAGGGTAAACTTTATCAGAGAATAAATAGTTCTTATGTAGCTGTGATGTTGTGATATAATAAGAAATATTTGTTCTTCACCCCTCATTCCTGGCACTTAAGAACTCAGAAAACCCTTGTAAGATCCTGTGATAAGAGTTGAGAGAAGTGCTTCTTCTGTTATTTATGCCCCTTTCAAGCATACCTGAGTTTATGCAAATAAGATGACTTTCCTTGGGTCCCTAGATGGCTACTGGGTGGGGCTGATTGTCAGAGGAACCAACCATATAAGAGGGTTGGAACTTTCTGGGGATTGAATTCACCAATGACCAATGATCATGCTGTGTAATGAACCTCCTTAAAAACCCTAAATGTCTTGTTCCCTGCCACAGCTGACAGATAATATAGCCATAGAGCAGTGTGGCACTTTCTTATATGCTCTGGCTTCAGGGTTTTTTTTATATTTAAGTCTAAATAAACATAGTGCCAAACTCTTGGAAATTAACGTGGTCAGGATGTCTTTATCCTTACAATTTTAGTCTCCTTTGAAAAATTTACTTCTGATTTCTCAGATTGATATAAACTTTAGTTTTCATTCATGGAGAGGACTCTGGTTAAGGGTGAAGATCTGGGGTCTGCCAGATCAGTATTTGAGTCTCAGTTCTGTGGCATCCTTGCTGTGTGACCTTGGGCTAGTTACTTTACTTTAGTATGGCTTAGTTTCCTCATCTGGAAAACAGGAATAAGAATATCCCCTTTAGGCAGCTGGTAAGATTCTATACTGCTTGTCTGGCACATAGTATGTGCTCATTAAATAATTATTATTTGAGGATTAAGGATGTGGATGGTTATTATAGTAAAACTTAATCATGTCTTTTAATTTTTCTCAGAGGAAACACAAGAATAGAAGAGGCTTGTGAAATGTATACCAGAGCTGCGAATATGTTCAAGATGGCTAAAAATTGGAGTGGTATGTATATGGTTTTTGTTTGCTTTTCGGGCAGATAACTTTAAAATCATTTTGAAGGAGAAAATGAGTGCTGTCCCCAGAGAATAAGACTGTTGGCCCCAAGCCAGGTTTCAGTTCTAAATAACTGATGTGGCCACCATGAACTGGGATTAAAAGATCTAGATTAGTGAATGAAGTTGAAATCCTGACTTAAAATTTAAACGTAAGGACTGGTCTCTTTTAGTTTCTATAAACCACTTCATACAGTAAGAGTAATTTTATTTATTTTATTTTTATTTATTTTAGAGAGGGAGGAAGGGAGAGACAGAGAGAAACATTGATATGAGAGAAAGGCATCGGTCGGTTGCCTCCTGAATGCGCCCCAGTGGAATCGAACTGAAATTTTTACTTCTTACTAATGTGCTCAAGTAAATCTGTTGCCATCAAGACTGAAACTTGTGATAAAACTCAGTGAAAACAAGTAGGATAAATAAAAATGCCTGCTTTTCTTTACCTAAACATTAATAGAGAACTTCTGTTTCTTACTCTGAGAATAGCTCTGTGATGATTGATGGTTGTTCCATTGAGAAACGTGACAATGGTGCTCATTTTTCTGAGGCACTGCCATGGTGTTCTCTCTGAAATGAGAACCTCATGATGGATGCTTTTATCCTTGTACAGGTTCCTCATGTTAATATTTAAAACCTTCCCTGAACTGCCTGTGGGCCGGCATCTTCAGCCTTGGTTTCCACAGCCCCGGCCCTCTATTCCACCTCCTGTAGGCAGTGTGGGCTTGCCGTTGGCCTTGGTCCAGCCCTTTCTTGCCTTCAAGCATTTGTTCCTTGTTCACGTGACTTCTCTGCTAGGCATTCCTTCTGTCATGCTTTTTTGCCAGTCCAGAATTAATAGTCCCTGATCTAGAACCTTTTCTGAAAAAATGAGTGCATAAATCTTTCATGTTGTGCCGTGGTCCCAGCAGAGACCTGAACAGCACTCCATAACCAAACCCAACCCAACCCATTTATGATTCTGCAGGGAAATGTATGAGTTTCAGACTAAGTGGGATACAGATTAAACCTCTTATACGTGTCAAATTTTGTCATAAACAACAAAAAACTTTGAATTTTGCAATTGTAGGCCTATTAGCATTCTTTGAGAAACTTATTTTGTTCATGAAGCCTTCGTTAGCAATTCCTTCAATAGTCACAGCTAAGTCCAATGGACACTGTAAGGTAGAAAGATGACCAAATAAATATCCTTGACCTCAAGGATATTTTACCTTTCTTTAAACATTAGTAGCTTGAATCTGCCAGTCAGTATTCAGTATACATACTTTGTAGAACAGAATCAAATGGCCTGGTACTAGGCCGTTGTTATTGAATGGAAGCTTGTTGCCCAGAGACCACTTGGAAAGTATTCTGTGGCTGAGAGAAGCTTTTGGCACTGTTTGACTTGATTCTGGCTATTTTTATATACACCTAAGATGCACTTCATTACATTACATACTAGAATGCTTCTTTCAGTGGCATGGAACTTTCTAGCACTTAGGGTATGAGCCACTCTGTGGGGATATTTGTTCCTCTCTGTTTATTGTAGTAATTTATCTTCCTCAGCTGCAGGAAATGCATTTTGTCAGGCAGCCAAGCTCCATATGCAGCTTCAGAGCAAACATGATTCTGCCACCAGTTTTGTGGATGCTGGGAATGCGTACAAAAAGGCAGACCCTCAAGGTAAGACACAGCTCTGTCTAGGACAGTGATTTTCAACCAGTGTGCCGTGGCACCCTGGTGAGCCACAAGAATTTTTAAAATGTGTGATACCTGACTAGTCCGAGCACTGACCTCTTTTCTCTTAGATTGTCGAATTAAAAAAATGACAACAGCCAACACAACAATAGTCTGGTTGAATGAATCAAAATTATAACTTTTTTATGTCAGATTGGCAAAAAATACAGTGTATTTTTTGGTGTTCGGCAGAATTTTACTAATTAGCTTATGTGCCAGGAGATGAAACAGCTTGAAAATTGCTCGTCTAGGAGGTAGGGTTGAGGCTGGTGAGCTTTTTCACAGGTTGTACTTCTGGACTTTTTGAGCACTGGTAAAAATAAATTTTTTGTACTTTGGAATAATAGAGATTTTAGTAACTTTTGGAATTTTTCTTTAATCATTTGGAGCTTTAATGACAAGATATGTTAAATTTATTCTGGCGGTTTAGTTGCTTAACACTATTTTCGTAAATGTCATTTATGTTGCATTTTGGAGAGTTTCTTGGAAATTAGCTTTAATTTTATCTAAGACTTATATCCTAATTTTGTGAATTAATATTGTTTATTAGAGGAAACTTTAATGTTCCCTCACTCTGAAATTATAATATTCATTGGTGGTTTCTTTATTTGCTTTTTTAAGAGAGAGAGAAACATCGATTTTTGTTCCACTTACTTATACATTCATAGGTTGATTTTTATATGTGCCCTGACCTGGGCAACCTTGGCTTATGGGGACAAGACTAACCAGCTGAGNGTGGAACCTGCAACCTTGGCTTATGGGGACAAGACTAACCAGCTGAGCTACCCTGCCAGGGCAGTATCTGGTGGTTAAAATCAACTTATTCATGCATTTTTCATCTGACTTTTTAAAGTGTTTTTCAAAGTATTTGTTTTAAGGAAAGAACCAGTTTGGATATTTAAAGTGGTAAAGTTTTGCGAATGTTATTTTTCTTTTAGTTAGAGGAATGCACTTAAGTAAAGAATTAAAATGCACTTAATTAAAAGCATTAATTTCTTCCCTCCCACACATGCACTGGTAGCTATGGAGTTTTTCTTTTTTCTTTTAGCAGTCCATTTTAACATAGAAATTCCAAATTTTATGACTGTATCATACAGAAATAAGATATTTTCAAGGACTTTTGTATAGAGATTGATTACAGTTTATTTCCAAAAGGGAAAAACTGAACACAGCCTAAACAAGCAATGAGATGAGAATGGTAAAGTATAATACATCAGTATTATAGAATATGGTACAGTTATTACAGTCCCTGATTTCAGAGAATCTTTAGTGACCTGGTAAATGTTTACATGCTAACTAAAGAACCACGTGAGAATTGAGATCTCAAATTCATAATAAAGTCTATGCACATAGAAATGCACCTAGAGGACGCTGGAAGGCAAAACATATCAAATAGTAAGAGTGGGTTTGAGTGGGATTATAGGTAGCTTATTTTTCTCTTTCTATTTTTCTGTATTTTTAAAGGAATGACAATGAATTCACATTTCTTACAGAGTTTAGGCGGAAATTGCTTTTAATTTTTGTTAAGCTACTTTCTAATTCTTTACTTAGGCCTTTTACTCTGCCACATCTTCTCCAGAAGCAGTAAACGTGGAGCTGTCACACATGTGCCAGAATTATAAACACCACCTTTTGTGATGGTGTGTTGGCTGTGAACACAGCCTAATTTTTAGAAAATTAATATACTTTAACACTTTCATTTATTAGATTTTTTAAATTCCTTTTGTGTATATGTTAGTACACCAAAAGTCAGCGTCTTTAACATTGTACAAAATGTTGACTTCGCTTAACAGTTGTCTGAACAGGGATTCCAAAGTGCTTTTGATTTTGGCTACATGAAGAGTAGTCTGTTTAAGTCATCTTTCTTATAAAGAACTTTCTTCCAAAATCTATATATATACACACACACACACACACACACACATGATGTCACTGAGAAATACATTTACATTTGTGTTTTAGCAGATGTAGATGATCAGTGTTGATGACAGCCCCCGTTGGTTTTCTTTATAATGTGATCTTTCCCCTGGATGGAGTCCTCACTCTTAGGTGAAGGGTAACTGAGCCAGTACCACTCTAGCTCCAGTTCCCTAGTTTGCACTGCAGCTGCTACAGACAGAGCATGCTGAGGAGGTCTGGACTTGAATGTGATTCATGTTTGCTTCTCATTAAGGAATATGCCCACCCTCTGCCCCAAATGGGACCTCCTTAATGTTCTAGTAGCAGCAGGAAAATAGGCTCACCTGAACCCTCTTTGACTGAATGGACTTTTCATTGTTTTTCTTAAATGCCTACGCTTCAGAGGCTATCAACTGCTTAAATGCAGCCATCGACATTTACACAGACATGGTAAGACATTGCCTTGCTTGAGTGACTGTGGGGTGGACTCCTTGAAATGGCTTAGAGTTGTATTCTTTTTTATCTTGTTCCTAAACTGATTGGCATTAAAATAGGTAAAACAGGAATGTGACTCTGTTTTTTGTTTTCCCCCAGGGAAGGTTTACAATCGCAGCCAAACACCACATTACCATCGCTGAGATTTATGAGACTGAACTTGTAGACATCGAGAAGGTAGGCAATGGATTCAGTTTCTCATGAGCTAGGTGTAAAGCAGGTAGTTGACTCCAGGGACCCTTTCCTCTTCCAGCAGAGTTTAGTGGAGTAGAATGATCAGTCATGCATGGCTTCATGTGGGAGTTTTAGGAGCCTCATGGCTAAAGAGCAGATGAACTGTTTTTCTGGAGTGAGTGTCTGAGATGAAAGCTAGTTACAAGATTCACTTGCTGGTTTTGCGTACACGATTCATGTCCGGAGTATCTTCATCTCTTTCACTGAGCCCTCTGTGCCTGCTGCAACACTGGACAGTTGTCACTCTTCCTCTCCTTTGTTTTACTCTTTCCTTGGCTTCTGGAACACATCTCCCACCTGGTTCTCTGGTCACCTCACTGAGTGCTCTCTTCCTGACTCCTTAGCTAGTTCCTTTTCTTCTTAGCCTATATTGTGAAGTCATTGTCTTCTATCAGTCTTGCTCCCTTGGTGTATCTCTCTGTACTTACTCAGCATCGCAGCTTTAGATATCACTTATATCCCAGTGACTTGCAAGTCTGTCTGCAGCCTAAACCTCTCTCCAAGCTTTAGATTCCTATGTCCCTATGTCTGCCAACCTCTTCACTGTAGTCTCAAGCCAAGCATATGTAAGACTGAATTCTGATCTGGCCCTTCCATCCACCCTGATGTTCCCCCTCAAACCGGAGGCATACTTGCGTTTTCTCTTTCTCCACATCCAACCTATGAGCAATTTCTGCGGGCACTGTCCTCAAAACTCCCAAGTCTCAACACGTCTCACTGTCTATTGAGGTGGACTCAATCTTGGGAAGGTGAACATTTGTGTATCATCTTGCCAGCTGAGGCCACTACATCAGCTCCTTGTCCACAGGGTCAGTAGAGCACTCTGGAAGCAGAAGCCTGAGTGCTCTGTGCCATCGCTGCTGCCAGGGTATGGTCTCGGGCAACCACTTCACCACATGGGTTTCCTTAAAGTTGAGAGTGGATAAGATAATTTTTGGTGTACTCTTGGTTTTTTTTTTAAAAAATTGATGATTTGCCCGACCAGCATGGCTCAGTGGTTGAGCATCGACCTATGATCTAGGAGATCTTGGTTCAGTTCCCAGTCAGGGCACATGCCCAGGTTGTGGGCTCCATCCCCAGCAAGAGCCATGCAGGAGGCAGCCAATCAATGACTGTCATCATTGATGTTTCTATCTCTCTCCCTCTCCCTTCCTCTCTCTGAAATCAATAAAGACATATTAAAAAAAAATTTGATGATTTGCCATGGCAGCTTCTGAAACCCCCATTCCTCACTCCTCAGTGTTCCTGCCATTCTGTGAGTTGGCCAGTAGATGACATCTTTTTTCATTGATGTGTTCTCTTTTAAAAAGGCAATTTAAGAATATTACTAAACACATACACAGGGTTAACTTGTTGTGTTCACTGGGTTTGGCAGTGGTGGGGCATGGGGGACGAGGTCCATTCTGCCCTTTATAATTAGTTAGGCTGACAAAATTTCTGCCACCGTTAGCTTGTGGCTTCCGTTGTCACTTTAGACTTGGCCATTGCCATTCTGGCTCATGAGACAGGGAAAAGGCCTGGAGAAGGGTGCAGAGTCACATGTATGGACCGAGCCTGGAAGTAGTTTACAGCATGTTTATGTATAGTCCACTGGAAAGAATAGGTCTCCTGGCTACCTGACTGCAGTACAGGCTGGGAAAATGGTGTGCATGGGAGAGGGGGAGAAGAGGTTCTGATGGGCAGGAAGCATTCTGCACCCAGGTTCCCAGAGGTGCATGTGTTTTTGTGTTCCCTAAGTCAAGTACGCCAAGTTGTGAAAAGTTTACTGTTGGGATAGGTTTATTTATAAGAAAAATACTTATGCAAATCCAGTTTTTAAAATGCAACTCTTTAAACAGGTAGTTTGAATAACGTGTGTGTTTTCAGGCTATCGCACATTATGAACAATCGGCCGATTATTACAAAGGAGAAGAATCCAACAGGCAAGTATTACTTTTATTAATATAATTAAATAGTTTTTGTCAAAATGATAAGGACAAATCGTCACTATACTCTGTGAGCATATTGTGCTATACTAAGTGAAAGTGTACTGGGATATCTTTTTATTTTTCTACCAGTTTGTCACTTAACTTTGCTCTGGTTCTTGATTTCAGTTCAGCTAACAAGTGTCTGCTGAAGGTGGCAGCGTATGCTGCCCAGCTTGAGCAGTACCAGAAAGCTATCGAGATCTATGAGCAGGTGAGTTTACTGCTATCTGTTCACCTTCTGGTAAAATTTACTCTGAATCTTTCTTAAACTTTTAAATTTAACTTTCCTTTTTATTGAGATCTAATTCATACATTATATAATTCATCCTTTTAAGGAGTACCATGTTTGTGGTGTTTAGTATGTTCACAGAAGGTGTGTAACCGTCACCATTACCTAATTCTAAAACATTTTTATCACCCCCAAAGAAACCACATTCTCTCCTCTCAGACCCTGGAAACCACCACCTATTGTCCTCTCTAAATGGATGTGCCAGTTCTAGGCCTTTAATATATATGGACTCATACAATATGTGTGGCCTTTTGTGACTGGCTTCTTTCATTTAGCACAATTTTGTCAAAGTTCACTTATGTTGTAACGTATTGATACTTCAAGCATTTTCATAGCTAAGTAATATTCCACAGTTTATCCATGTATCAGTTGATGGACATTTGGGTTGTTTTCACTTAGGGGCTATTATGAATAACGCTGCTATGAACATCTGTGTTCAAGTTTTTGTTGAGGGTATGTTTGCGGCTCTCTTGGCTGTATACCTAGAGTTGGGATTGTTGGGTCATGGGGCAGTTTATTTTTAACTTTTTGAGGAACTACCAAATTGTTTTCCATAGTTGCCACACTATTTCACCTTCCTACCAGCAATGTACAGAGGTTCCAGTTTTTCCACATCCTCACCAATGCTTTTTGTTTGCTGTTTGTTTGTTTGTTTAATAACCACCCTAATGAGTGTGATACAGTCTCTCGTGTCTCTGATTTTCATTTGTTGAGTGTCTTTTCATGTGCCATTTATATATCTTCCTTGGAGAAATGTCTGTTCAGTTCCTTTGCCCATTTTTGAAACAGGTTATTTATTTTTGTTACTGAGTTTTAGAAGTTCTTTATATATTNTTATTGGCCATTTATATATCTTCCTTGGAGAAATGTCTGTTCAGTTCCTTTGCCCATTTTTGAAACAGGTTATTTATTTTTGTTACTGAGTTTTAGAAGTTCTTTATATATTCTGGATATTAATCCCTTACCAGAGAAGTGATTTGCAAATTTTTTTTGCTCCTGTTCTGTGGGTTGCCGTTTTACTCTGTTGTTCGTGTCCTTTGGTACACAAAGTTTTAAATTTTTATTGAGTCCAATTTTTCTGTTTTTTTCGCCTGTGTTTTTCATATCATATCCAAGAAATTGCCAAACCCAAGGTCATGAAGCTTTTCTCTTGTGTTTTGTTTTAAGAGTTTTTTAGTTTTAGCTCTTAGGTTTAGGTCTGTGATCCATTTCAGTTAATGTTTTGTATATGGTGTTAGTTAAGGATTCAACTTCATTCTTTTTTGCCTGTAGATTTTCGCTGTTCCCACCATTATTTGTTGAATACACCATCCTTTTGCCATTGAATGGTCTTGGTACCGTGTTAAAAATTATTCGACCAATATGCAGAGGTTTATTTCTGGGCCATGTTCTAATCCATTGATCTATATGTCTTTATGCCAATATCACACTGTTTGATTACTGTAGCTTCGTAGTAAATTTTGAAAATGGGAAGTGTGAGTGTTCCAACTTCTCATTTTTTCTTTTCTTTGGGGGGGGTTAATCCTTACCCAGGGATATTTTTTCCATTGATATTTAGAGAGAGAAGAAGGGGGGGCAGAGAGAGAAACATCGATGTGAGAGAGACACATTGATTGGTTGCCTCCTACACGCACCTTACCGGGGCCAAGGATTGAACCTGCAACCCTAGGTATATGCCCTTGACTGGGAATTGAACCTGTGACCCTTTGGTGCACAGGTTGATGCTCTAACCATTAGCAATACCCGCCAAGGCTCACTAAACTTCTTGAAGGCTTCTGTAGGCTTCTGTTTCCTGCCAAATTTGGGGAGTTTTTAGCCATTCTTTCTTTTCTTTTTTTATCCTCACCTGAGGGTGTTTTCCCAGTGCTTTTCAGAGAGAATTGAGTGGAAGGGGGGAGAGACATCAGTGTGGAAGAGACACATCGATTGGTTGCCTCCTGCACGTGCCCTAACCAGGGCCAGGGATTGAGCCTGCAACCGAGGTATGTGCCCTTGGCTGGAATCAAACCCAGGACCCTTCAGTCCGTGTGCCTACACTCTAAACACTGAGCCACACTGGCTGGGGCCAGCCATTATTTCTTCTAATACATTTTAGCTGCTCTCTTTTTCTCTTTTTCTCTTCCCCCTCCAGGACTCAGAGGATCCCAATGTTGGACCTCAGTTCATAGTCGCAAAGGTCCCTGATGGTTTTTGTTTTGTTTTTTTCATTTCGTCTTCTCTCTGTTGTTCAGAATAAGTAATTTCTAATCTTTTGTGTTCTGTCATCAATTTGTTGATTCTTTCCTCTGTCCTATTTATTCTGCTGTTGATTCCATCTACTTTTTATGTGGTTTTGTATTTTTCCGTTCTGAAATTTCCATTTGGTTCTTCTTTATGTTTTCTGGGATTTTTTGTTGTGGATTTCTTTTTCTTTGTTGACACTGTTTTTTGGGTTTTTTTCCTACTTTCAAGTGTTTTTGTATTACTGTTTTGAAGCATTTTTATGAGGGCTCTTTCAAAACCTTTGTTAGATAATTCTAACATTTCTGCCATCTCAAAGCTGTCAACTGTTGATTGTCTTTTTTCATTCAGCTTGAGATCTTCCCCTTTTTTGGTATGGCGAGTAAGTTTCCATTGAAAACTGGATATTTTCACATTATGTTATGAAACCGGATATTACTTCAACCTCCCCTGTCAGCTGGTTGTTTGTGACATTGCTCTGTCTGGGGAAAGCGTGTGTTGCCTCATTACTGCCAGGTGGAGGTTTCCTACTTGGCCTCCATTGACATCTGGGGGTAGGCCCCCATTTCATTTCAGCTCCTGCTTGCTCTCCACCACTCCATGCTGGCATTGTCTTGTTACTGCCAGGTGATGGTGAAAGTCTTAACCCTCCACTAGGCCTCTTCTGAAACCATGCCTGCTGGGAGATCAGAATACCTGGTTCCTGCTGGATAGAGGTGGAATCCAGGCTCCTTGTGCTGTCTCTACTGCCTCAGCAACAGGGGTGGAAGGTGGGCTTGGTACTAGCTGGCAGGGGTGAAGGCTTGGCTCCCTTCTTGGCCTTCTCTGAATGTCAGCAGGAATGTTCGGCTCCTCTTTGCAGTCTCGAAAGGATGGACATCTTGATTTCCTCTTTGGCCTTTGATGATGTGAGTGAGGTTAAGGCCACAGTTTTCTTTGTGGTGTTGGCTGGAGTAGAGCAGTTATTATCTAAACAGTTGCTATGTTGTTAGGGTGCCCTTCCCTAGTCCTTTGGTTGGAGACAGCAGACTTTTGTCTAGTCTTTTTTTTTTTTTTGCTGTATCCAGTGACCTTTATAGGTTGCCAGTTGCTGACTTTTTTCTATAAAAAGTTAGGAATATATGAAAGAAAAAGAAAACCAAGGGAACTCATTGTCATGTTTTCTCTTGTGTCTCAAGGTCCCTATCAGTCTGCTTTTTTCTCTTCACCTTTCAGTTTTACATTTGTTTTATATACAATGACTGGGGCTTTGAGTTGTGCTTAGGAGGCATAGAGGAAAGTGTGTTTGTTCCATCTTCCTACAAGTGGAAGTGTTCTGAGTTCATTTGTAACAGGTCAGCAGTGTGTGTATTAAATATTATTTCTTCTAGTAAAATTTTCTAGTTATTATATTGGATTAAAAGAATGCATTTCATAGCTAAACTAACATAAGATACAGAATTGTTTTCTAAAGGCAATAGATGAGAATCAGTTTGCCATAAGAAGTCAAACCTTTTAAAAAATGACATATTTACATATATGCATATATGTATATATATGACACATAGACACAGACAATAGCGTGGTGATAGAGGGAAAGGGATATGTGGGGAGGTGAAATAAATAGGCATGGAAAGAGACTTGACTTTGGGTGGTGAGTACACAATGCAGTGTGCAGATGATATTTAATGAGTTGTACATTTGAAACCTGTATGGTTTTATTAACCAATGTCACCCCAATAAACTCAGTTTTTAAAAAAAGCAAAAAAAAAAAAAGAAACCTTTTAAACCTAACTCTGCTTTCTTTGCCTAGGTTGGGGCAAACACCATGGATAATCCTCTGCTGAAGTACAGTGCGAAGGATTACTTCTTTAAAGCAGCCCTCTGTCACTTCATAGTCGATGAGTTGAATGCCAAGGTATGGAGTCAGCCCTTCAGTACTAGTTTTATGATACCCATTACCCATGAGAGTAGGCCTCACACAGGCACTCTGTTCTTGATATCACTTTGTTTGGGTGATATTGATTAGTTGCAAGACTGAACTGAGTACATTAACAATAATAATAATAATAATAATAATATGTTTTGTATCCCAGCTGTAATTTTGTAACAGCTGCCTAAGCTGTTTCCTTAAAGTTCCCTGGTAGCCACATTTCCTTCAGTAGTTTTGCCTTAAGGAAATTAGAGAACTAAGGGGGAGAGAATAAAAGTAGAATAACTTCCTTTTTTAAAAACTTAGAAGTGGAATTGGAATGAGGATTGGGGAGAAAGTGAAAAGCCAAGTGAAAGCTGAGAGACAAGAGGCAGAGTTGGGTAACCTCGTGGTTTTCCTTTGGATTAGGAAGACTAGAATTAAAATCACTAAATGGAAAGGCATTCTTCCCTCCAGCCTCCAACAGTGGTGTAACTGATTTTTTGGGGATCAGAGCAGTGTTATAGATGAATTCCATTCAATGGATGTAAAAAGACACCAATTTATGAATTTTTCAGAATTAGATGTTGTTTATAATGTCTTCTCTACAGCAGCCTAAATCTGAAAATTGGTTTTACAAGTTTCTTCTTAACTGAAGTTTAAAACCAGAGTAGATAGGATTCCTGTGTTGAATTTTTTTTTTTAATATGTTTTTATTGATTTCAGAGAGAGGAATGGAGAGAGAGAAAGAAACATCAATGATGGGAGTCACTGATTGGCTGCCTCCTGCATGCCCCCTACTGGGGATCAAGCTCGAAACCCAGGCATGTGCCCTGACCAGGAATTGAACCATGACCTCCAGGTTCATGGGTTGACACTCAACCACTGAGCAACATCGGCCGGGCCCTGTGTTGATTTTTATGTTGATTTAACACAAACATCTTAGATACTTAAATAGGACGTAGATAAGTCTTACTGAAGTTAATAGAATGTTCACAGCTTTGTTTGCTGGTTTAGTGAGTTGGACATTAACAAGTGTTTTTCCTTTCTTAGCTTGCTCTTGAAAAATATGAGGAAATGTTTCCAGCCTTTACTGATTCAAGAGAATGTAAATTATTGAAGGTAAATAATATTAGAACTTTAAAGACAAATGCCTTTGCTGTCAGGTGGAAGTGGGTATGAAGTTTAAACCTGTGAAGTCTGCTGGAGATCCTCTCCAGCTTTTGCATAATAGGTTCTAAATGGCGCTAAGAGTCAGGAATATAGTACTGTGTTCTGATGCAAGCAGTTCAGAAATGTTAGCACAAATACAGGATCTATGACTTGGGATAATTCTTTATTTGTACTTGAATATTTCTCCAATTTTGTAAAGTTTTCGGCGACATCAGTTAATGTGACACTAAGGCTATATCTGTATTTAAAGTATCTCTCTTCATAGATGGAACTTTTTTAGCTTACCCAACTAATTTTTCCATATTTATGTTGCTAGAAACTTCTGGAAGCTCATGAAGAACAGAACAGTGAAGCTTACACTGAAGCAGTAAGTTATGTCTTTGAGATATAATGATTTCTTTGAAGGTTTGTTATGGAAACTTTTTTTTGCTTTCTTTGAAGGTTTGTTACGGAAACTTTTCTTTTTGTGTAAATGCTGAACATTTATTTGAACATTATTCCAGTATACCTGAATTGTATTTCCCAATGGTCATTTTTATATATCCCGCAAACCTGTACAGTTATACAGTTCTATTAGCCATGGTGAATTTTAGCTGTAAGGCAAATTCAAGAAAAAAAATCACATGCTATTACAATTTGCTGTTTGAATGTTTTCTTTGGAAAATAATATGCTCCCTAAATAAGTGTAAAGTAAAATCAGTTAAATACAATTTAAAATATAAAAACAAAGCAGTGAGAGTTTGCTATATTTCTGGCATAACATAAATGGAAGATTTTTTTTTCCTTATTTTCATCTATCTTCTGTTTTCCCATCTTTTGCCATCTTATGTTTAGAATCATACAGGTGTCTCAGTATCTGCCATTAATGTATTTACCATGGCTTTGAAGCAGTAGTGGGAAAGAATATTTTCCCATTTAACTTTTGCTGCAAAACCATTTTCATTCTATTGAAATCTCATTGTTTAGTAATGCGTTGAAATGAGTTAAAGGAATTCTGCTTCCATACATTCTGTCTTTGCGGATACGTTTTTTTCTTGTTCAGTGAATTTTGGAGCAGTATTAATTTTCCATGTTCCCTTCTAAGTCTTACATACAGTCTAATTTCCTTTGTCATATTAATCGTGCTCTTCTTCCAATTATAAAGGCTGTTAGGAATTTTTGTCATCACATGTAATATACAGAGCAATATAAAGTCACAGAAACTTGTTAATAGCTCCATCAAAATAGGTAGAGGAAAATGAAAAGCAATTTGTAATGAAAATTATGAACTGGAATGAATAATTTTAAATGAGAAAAGTCGGTAGATTATCACTATATATGTTTAAACAGCTGTTGTTTTGTTTCGATTGCATTTCCATGGACTAATTCCTGTTCCTCTAACCTTAAACTAGGTGAAGGAATTTGACTCAATATCTCGCTTGGATCAGTGGCTTACTACCATGTTGCTTCGTATCAAAAAGTCCATCCAAGGGGATGGAGAAGGAGATGGAGACCTAAAGTGAAACATTTATAAGTCTTTGTGGCATGCAGCTAACTCCTCTTTAGTTCCTCTTAGGGCCAGTAATCTTTATGGGATGCCCACTTAATGGCTTAGTTTTGTTGCACATGAACCAAATGATGTGTGTGTGATTCAAGTTAGCTGTGTTTGTGTCACTGTTGAGCAGATGGATAAAAGAAGCTCCTGTGCATATTGTGGGTGTGATGGGCTATTTCATGCTCGCCAGAGTCCCCAGAATTTTCTGAGTACTACTTCAGAATTTTATTCTTGTTTGGTGTTTGCAGAGCCCATGTTTAATTTCACCACATTTTTCTGTCCTGTTTTTGGACTTGAGTACCCAACCCAATTGCTCTAATTGATGCTTTGCATATTCTCTGTAAATTTGCATCTGGATGTATTCTCTTAAGTGTCTGTGTTTAGTTTAGGGTGGTGGTTAGGAATGAGTTTATGACTTACTTTATTAGAAATTTGCTGTTGTTGTTATCTTGTGATTTTTTGATGGTACTAATGACCAGTTTCTTTGCTTTTGATATTGTTCTCTATGCTAATATGCACGTGAAAATTCAGAGCAGCCGGGGTCTGCCTGCATTACTTACATTGTGAGAAAAGGGAGCATCCTGGCAGTGCTTGCTTATGTGTGCGGATGAATGTCAAGTGGGTTTGACTGCTTTGTATTTACACACACACACAAATATATAAGGTCTGTGAGAAACAGAATTTTTCCTTTTCCTAGACATAATTTCCACTTTTAATTGGGTTGAAAATCCCTTTCTTTATATTCACTTAAAGGTGTTTTAACTGGCACATCCTTTCTCTTTATTTTCATGGTCATACTATTTCCCACATTGAGATGGCTTCCTCTCTGCCACAGTCATAGACATCCTCATGAGGGCCCAGAAATTATACGTCAGCGTTTGAGAAAGGCCTTCAGTAGTTTTATCCATTTATTGAACGTGATGGGTGGGTAGGGTTAATATGGTACAGAGGTTTACTGTATGCCTCAGCTGTCTTCTGAGGAGACTTGATGTTCCTCTTAGCTGATGGGATTGCTTTATCTTTTGTGTTTGAACTTTGAACTCTGTCCTGTGCTCTATCGATTTAAGAACTTTATCCCTACCCATTATGTTACATGCAGACATTGTACTTTAGATGTGGTCCTCTGTGCATTTTTGTTGTTGTTGTTGTTAATCCTCACCGCAGGATACTTTTTCCATTGATTTTTAGAGAGTGGAAGGGAGGGAGGGAGATGGGTGGGGGGAGAGAGAGAGAGAAACATTGATGTGAGAGAGACACATCAATTAATTGCCTCCTGCACACACCCTGACCGGGACTGGAGGTGGAACCTGCAACCCAGGTACGTGCCCTTGACCAGGAATCAAACCCACGACCTTTCAGTGCCTGGGCCGACACTCTAACCACTGAGCAACACTGGCCTTCTCTGTGCATGTTTTTAGGCTTGATTTATGTTTGATGTGTGTTTATTGCCATATATAGCCTGTGTTTTTTTCTGTCTTGTGCTGCTGTCATTAATGACAGGTAATGAAATTTCCCATGTTATGTTAGATAGTAATTGTATTTAAATGATGTTTTCATTTTTAAATGGCTATCAACTGGAATTGGTAGGCTTTGTTGGACAGAAGTAGAGAGGGTGTGCCCAGACCAAGGGCTCAGCAAGGAAGCAGCTTTGGGGATGGTGAATAGATTGGTCTGGTATGAAGGAGAAAGTGGCAGAAAAGGAAGTTTCAACAGCTGAGGCCCAACTGTGGAGGCTCTTTCTCAGGTGGCTGTGAGGATTCCCTGGCTGTGGCTGTAGAGTGATGTGTGCAAGGGGGGCTAATGGAGAGGAAGGTCATAGTATCAACTGAGGGTAGAGGGGATGGACCAGAAGACATGGACACACTGGTGTTGGGCCCTAGAATCTGATAAGAATTTCTTTTTTCTTCAAAAGTCAGGGATTCTTAAAAGAAAGCAGACTATCACAATATAATTTGGAATGGATCTTATTTGATACTTTTTAAAATTTCCGGTTGGAATCTCTTATGAAAATATTATAGAAAAGCAGACTTGTTGCTTTACCTAATATATTCCACAACCATCCAAATGTACTTTTGTAAAAAGTTTTTCCCCAAATGCACTTTTGTGAAAGTGAGGCTTGGGGGGTGCCTTTGTAGCCAGTGTCCTCTAGTCATAGGTCTGTCCCGTATGGAGAGCATTTAAGTCCTAGCCAGCCAGCGTGCTCCTTTCATCCTAGTCTACAAAGTTTGTTGAAAGAACCTTCTGGTCTGACCACGCAAAGGAAGAACTAAGTGCTTTGTTTTAAGGCAATTCCATGTAGCTTTTATCATGATGCCCTAACAAACCCCAGTCTGAAAAAAAGTTACGGTTTTTAAAAATAATATTGGCAACATTTTGTTATGTCAGTCAGAGACTTGCTGTCTGTTTTGATTGAAATAAACACTGATACCAGTGCCTGAATTAAGAATGTTTTAAATATTTCACACAAAAGAGTAAAAATACCTGTAATGAGTAGAAAAGACTTGCTAGTAGGTGAAAGGAAAACGAGCGGGAATGCGTCCCATTAACAGTATGCAGACTTCCTTCCTTGAAATGTCTCATTGTTGGACGTAGGGTAGCACCGTGACCCAGAGGCCCAAGGTATGTCCTCAGGATTCCTAGTGTTATTTATGAAAACATGTAATGCCTCTTTATGTTAATAGTTCTTATATTTTAACAAATTGGGGGTTAGTTCAGAGTCAGTTGTGGCAACATTTTTATAGCTCGTGTGAGTTCGTTTATTTAATGATTTGAAAACAGTATTTTTACACAGTTGTGACTGTGATGGTGTAACTATAACCAAAGTGTGTGCATTTATTGTTTCCTCTGAAACTGTGCATTTAAAATATTCAAATGCAAACCTCGGTGGAGGTTTGGAGGCTTTGGCAACACAGCATGGTGCCTGTGACCCACCCAGTGGGATGCGCACAGGTTCCTGCCTGTGAAGCTCTGAGTTGGTCACTGGTGTTCTCCTCTCCATGCTCTCTGGTGGGGGATTGTGTTATGAAAACTAACCATAAATCTACCTTAGCAGAAAAGAGTATGTATGTTTTATGTGAACTTGTACAATAAATAAAGTGGAAATTATGAGTAATATTTTGACAGGTTCTTTCCTACTAAATTTACACAGATCACGAGTAGCTTCCTTTTCTTGACGTTGTTCCTATTAAGTTTAAGGCAATGAGCACTAATATTCTCTAGGCTGAGTATCCACTGAAACATGAGTTTGACTATGTTAAAATCTCTATTGGTGGAAATTCGGGGCACTGTAATGGTTTGGCAGCTGCAGGTTTATGAAAGCAGCCCTGGTTATAGCCTGTTGCTGCAGTTGGCTAAGTTTGCATGGCGACTCTAAGCCTCATGCTCTCATCCCTTTTGGCTACTCCACTAAGGAACGTTGCTTGCACCCTTTGGGTATATACAGTCACTTGCAAAGTTAAGAGAGGACTGGTTCACAGAAACTGTTAGGTGAGGGTGGGGGATGAGGGGAACCCTGAAGACAATTCTGTTGGCAGTGTGGACATTTATTTAACTGCAGATATTGGTACAGGGTCAGCACATGCCCCTGGAGAAGGCCAAGGCCCCTGGCCACTCAGGCCTCATGTTCTATGGAGGAAGAAGATGCCATGTGGAGTACTGTGGATCAGCTCATTCTGTCAAAGAGCAGTGTTAAGGTCCATGAGCGTATTTACAACTTAAAGATAATTCAAACCAAACTTTGAAAAAAGTAATGTGCCCGGCTGGGCGAGGCTCAGCAGTTGAGCGTCAACCTAGGATCCAGGAGATCTTGGTTCGATTCCCAGTCAGGGAACATGCCTGGGTTGTGGGCTTTATCTCCAGTAAGGGGCTTCAGGAGGCAGCCGATCAATGACTCATCATTGATGTTTCTGTATCTCTCTCCCCTCTCCCTCCCCCTCTCTGAAATCAATAAAGGTATATTTAAAAAAAAAAAGAAAAAGAAAAAATGAATGGTAGAACAGGCCCATCACAGCCTAGGAATTCTGAGAAATCATTGATCATTCAAGGTTAGTTTATCTCACAATCATTATTTCCTAACAGAAAGAAGCCACCATGGTGGTTTAAAAACCTGGTTTTGCCAGCCTTGGCAAGAGTCCCTGTACAAATAGGCAAAAAGGTAAGTGGGTGGTTTCTGGGGCCTGACTAGGTGACATGCTATTTGACCCTCTGACCTGTATGAAACTTGCTCAGTCATGCTGCCCCCATCTAGGTACATGTGAACAAATGGTCCTTTGCACGAGTGCCATTCCGCCACTGAAATCATATGGTTACTTCAAGTTTCACACTGTGAAGCTTAATTAAAGGGCCAATCCTTCATTTTGTCTCAAAAATGTCCCAGTGTGACAAGACGTAAAATTTAACAAGTTAGGATTAAATTATAACTCATACTCAAATTTGTTGGTTTGGATTATCTGTAGCAAAACCACATTTCTCTTAAAATTACCTTTAATAAAGGTCTTCTCCAACCATATGATCCTTTTTTTTTTTTTCCCCCAAATTATAATACAGAAGTTTTGATGAAACCCAAGGCAATAGAGATCTCTGGATTTTGGGCTGAGAATATTTCCCACAGTATGGTTGGAAGGCACTAAACCACCTCCGTAGTTGCCTATCCTGATGCTTTAGGTCTAGGAGACACAGTACCAACACCAAGGGCACTTTACTAATCATGGACTTAGGGCTGACACAGTGAGACAGGAGCTTGCTTTCACTCGGGGAGGCTGTACTTGGATTAAGAGAAATAGGGGGAGATGCCCCACAAATCCCTCAATCATGAGTCTTCCACAGGGTTTTCAGATTTCTGTTCTTAGAGGCAGCTTTACCCTTCCTGGAAGCAGACAGAAATAGATATAGTGGAGAAGTTTCTATGATGCAAACTTAAACATGACATTGAAGAACCCAGTCCATTTCCATAGTCCACAGCACCAGCTGCACATTACTTCTACATAAAGCAGAGGTTAGTGTTTCTGTCACCAGGCCTTTTACTTCTAAAGAATTAATGGACAGTCCACATAGTTAAAAAACTAAGATTACTCCTGGGACTATAACCTTGATTTTAAACTTCATTATCCATGAAGTTAAGGAAGTTAATACTTGTTCAATCTACACGACCTACATTTTAATAATGGGAAGAAAACTTAAGACTTGCGAAACTATTTTACAAAGCAAATGTTTATTAACACATTAAACGATTTTTTTTGTAGAATTTCTAAAGAAACATTCAAGACAAAAATTCTTCTAGTAGGTAACAAAATAATCTATATTTAAATTCCTTCTTATTAAGATGACTTTACTCCATGAAACAGTACATCAGTTGGCCGTGTTCATTCTCTTAACAAGAATAAAATGGTTGTGTGACAGTCACTGTTTTTGTTGTTGTTGTTCTGTAAACATAACTAGGATATGCTGTCATAATTGAATCTGAAGTAGTTAAGTACTGCTGTCTTTAAGAGCAGGTGTGAAACATGTCAGCACCAAAAACACCTTGTAGTGGCTTTAGTATGTAACATGTCACAAACTAAAACAAAATAAGCACATAGGAAGAATCTTCCCTCATTAGTTTCTGGAATTGTGCAGCTCTATCTTCAGTCTGGAACTTATGGATAAGTTCTTTCTCTTAGAACTTTTCTCTTAAAAATGAAAGTGTTTTCACAGCAAGTCAATAAATTAAAATGTAGAAAAACTGGTAAACAAAAGACTTCTCCTTTAAGTTGTCTTTATATTAATATGTTTAGGGTTAAATGAGTCACGGCTACATACAAAAGCCACTGGAACCAAGAATCATGCTTAGCAAATACAGCAGAATTATCTTTTCATTGTAAATTCATCAAGTCCAGCCTGAGACAGCCAAAGGAGCATTTAAGACAAGTTATTGGTTCTTCACAGTCTACTCTTAAGGCATAATCAGTGATGCGTGCCAAGGCTTTTGGTCACTTCTGCTATATTCTCACACACTCCCAAGGAAACAAATATGTGACATTTACCTGCCTGTGTCTAGCTCTTGATTTGGCAATTAGAAAGTCAGAAAAACCAGGCAGAATTACTAATACTCTGTGCTCTACGATTTGCCAATCAGCTCATTGCTACTTGTCAGTAAAATGACTACACAATGTTTCAAGTGTTCTACAGCCTCTTGTTTAATTTTTCACACCTCTTTAAAAAAAAAAAAAAAATAGTTTGCTACTAAAATCTTTGGTAGGACAGCTTTTACCTTAGCAGATTTTTAGGAATGAAACTGAACAGCCACATTGCATTTCAAAAGCTATTTTATGACAAATTTCCTAGACACACGTGTGCTGTGAGTAGAGGCTATACTAAACTTTTGCAAAGTGTTCAGTTTGTCATTCCTTTTTTAGTGTGGGGTGGGGGAGTGGAGGGGAATGAATGCAGTAATTCATTTCTTCAGTTCCATTCAAGGGTCTCTAGAGCAAATCTGCTTTGTTTCAATCTGACAGGAAAACAATTAAAAATACATGGCCCCAGTTTTACTTCAGCTTGGTAGAAAACTGTCTTAAAAGTATCAGAAATAAACCCATAAGGAAGTATAAGGCAGACTGAGAGACCAGGGAGACCATTAAAAGCAATTTCATGAGCTGAATCAATGGTCTGTACTCTATTAAGGTAAAGAGTTGTCTAAACTTCACAGACATTAAAATAATCAAGCATTAGAATGATTAATGCATATAGCAGCCTCACCAGAATTAAGTGAGGTTATGTTAATTGCCTATGTGTTGATAAAGTATAGCTGAGGTCGTGCAGATCAGTATTTTTAAGGGAAAGCTTTAAAAATGCTCTGATAAAAACGTGCAAGTTACCAGAAATTTAGGAAAATCAGAAGCCATTCTTGCCCACTTCTTTGCCTACCAGTAGTTCTTTTTCTTAGCTCCCGACACGTCATCTTGCACACAGCTAACACACAAGATGCAGGATGGGACCTGCTTGGCAGGTAACTTCAAGCTCTTATTCCATGCTGGTCAAAGAGTGAAGTTGTGTGGGCATCAAGTCTGCCTGTGGAGTCAGCTCGCTAAGCTCGCTGATGGTGGTGGCCAGCAGAGCATCCTGGGACACCACAGAATTGTCTGACTTGCAGGCTGGATCTGCAGAACTATTCTCATGCACAGTAGATACACTGCCTTGGACTGTAGCCAGGTTGTGAAAATGGTTATTTTCTGCAAAAGACAGCAATTTATCCGAAAGCTTGGCCGATGCATATTCTTCGTCAGGCTGTTCAGTCTTATGCCCTTCATCACTCTTGGGCGAGCCGTCCACAATAACAAGGAAAGACTTCCACGGTGTATTCTTATCGTGTACCTACGAATCAAACAAAACAGAAGTCACCGAGGGTGTCTGAACAAATACCTGTAAATCCTCTAATTCACGGCTACTTATTAGGTACACCTTTTAAAACAATAGTCTCTCTTCAGATGCCTTTTACTAACTGTCAAGTGCCTCTACCACTACTGTCACCATTGCAGTGTTTATCATGGATTGTGCCTTCCTGGACCTGGAGACTTGTTCTTCATTCACATGTGAATGGGCTCATTGCAGACAAAACTTGAAGAAAATACCTGTTGTTTATCTTCTATAACCAGCTTATGGCATTGTGACTGTCTAGGGTTATGCACCTAGGGACCAGCAATTTGTCATTCTTAAGCCACTGCTGCTTACTGAGGTGTGCCGCCGGAGAGTGGACTTGTCAGTAAATGTCCTCCCGCATGCGTTACACATGAATGGCTTCTCTCCCGTGTGGATCCGATGGTGGCGCTGAAGAGCATTGAGCTGGGTGAACTGCTTACCACATTGGTCGCAGCAATAGGGACGTTCCCCTGAGACAGGAAGAGAAGAAACTGATTGATCTCTTTAGCCTGGTGTATACAATTTTGACTAAAATCTGGAATAACGCTGTTTGTAAACCAATGGAAAGTGTCCGCATCCCACCCTAAGGAAGATCAGTCGAGGGTCAACTGACAGGTATAAACCTACTACCTTTATACAGGTTTCCATGATCCCAAAGTAGTGTTCCCATGAAACTTTCTGAAAGCCACAGTGGTACAAAGTGAAGAGTGTCCCCCAAGTCTGAAAGTTCATGTTATGTTTTCTTCAGTTAGTGAAAACAGGAACTATGTTGGTCTTTTGTAAAAGCAAAGTGGCCTAATGCAAATTTTTGGAAGGGAGGAACACCTGTAATACCAAGAGTTTATGGCCTACACTAAAAAAGGGCCAAAACCCATACTTGCAGCTCATTACATCCAGACATTTCCTCTATTTCCATAGTAATGGAATATAAAATTCCCAAGTCCCACAACTGAATTTGCATGCATGTGCATATATACTAATATGTATAGATTATCCTTAAATTTAATCTGAAAATGTTGAAATGTCCACATAGCCATACCTTTTCAGTTTCTCAGAGCCAGAAACTAAAAACTCAAAAAAATTTTAAATGCTATTATGATATAAAATTTGCTGGAAGGCTTTTCCCTAGAACTAAATTCCCAAGTTTTCCAGTAAGTCAAAAATCTTAGGGATATTTTCTTGGGGCACTGAACTCCCTTCTCCAGGGACATTCCAGCCATACCTGTGTGGACTTTAATATGCTGGTAAAGTGAATTCCGCTGGGCAAAAGTCCTGAAACAAACTTCACATTTAAAGGGTTTGGATCCAGTATGGATTCTATTGTGATGTTTTAAATACTCCTTAGAAGCAAAACTCTTGCCACATGTTTCACACATAAAAGGCCTTTCACCTACATGAAAAGATGAAACAAAAAGTTAGAAGTGATACAGGCACAGGAACACACAGGAAGAGTGGGTCCAAACTCTCAAATCCATATGAAGTCCAAAAGCGCAGCCTGCTGTCATAAAACATGTACTCATGTGAGATGCTTACTACTTGCTGAAAGTTGATGTAAAATATCCTTGGAAATCCCAAGAAAGAAACAGAGATAGGCCAGCCAAGCTCACATTTGGGAAATTTAGTCATTTCAAACAAATAACTATACAACTTGTTTGGAGAAATTGTTACCTTTTTTTCCCAAAGAAGCACTTCTATCTATGGCTCTTTTTCAAAATAAAAGTCCCTCTTGAAAGGGAGAGAATGTTTACATTGTTACATATACGTAACTGCTCTAGATAAACAACTCCCAAGCAATTCAGATTTGGTTATAAGACAAGAAAAAAATGTTTAAGTACTGCTTCACATTGTGTAGTTTGAATCCTTTAATTGTACAAATCAAACTCATTTGATTATTAGGTGTACCCTGAGTTCACAAACATCAAAATAAAAATACTGGGTTTAATAAAATCTGAATATATTAATATTTTCATCAAATGATTCTAAATCCTTCAGTGTAACCTGACGTCATCTCTACTCCTAAGCATCCATTGGACACCAATTCTGCTGCTCATTTTACAGTATAGTAATTCACATCATAAATGACTTGTGTTTGTCTCAATTGCATTTGAACTTGAGGATCATATGACAGAGTTTAGAAGTAAAAATTTAAAAATACAAGCAAATAAGGAACTGGGTTAGCATAACTACAGTATACAACAGATTCTGTATCCTTCTGTGTCATAAACAATAGGGTTTTCTGAATTTCAGGGTTACTGTGCTGAATCAGAATAAAGCCAACTTAAATTTTGTTTCTAACATAAAATCGTCACAAAAATTTTAGAAAATGGAAATAAGATAATTACACCACCTTAATACATCATACAACCATTTTCTAGTCTTCTGTGCAGGAATTCAATATAATTGGGATCATTTGTGCACTTTTCAAGTCAATATCCAAGTACAGGTGTTTTTCATAATGTTCAGAATCCTCATCCCAATGGCCAGTGGGTAGATTTCCCAGTTTACTGAACCACTGTGGTTGGACAATCAGGTTGTTTCTAATGCTGTTTTATTAGAAATAGCAAGGAGGAAAATAGAGCTTTTCCCACACTCTGAGCAATCTCTTTAGGACAGATTGCTGAAAATGGAATTTGGGGCTAAAGCAGTAGGAACTGTTTCATACCTTTCTGATATATAAGACTCACATGCCAGTTCCTACTGCCAAGTGTGCAAAAGGCCACCACCACAAGCATATTTTATTTAGTCACTTTTGCCACTTTCTAAGTGAGAAGGCAAGAGATCGTGGCTTTAACCTGCACTACTTTGGTAGATGCCAACTTCTAAATTAACAGACTGCAGTTTCCTCTACAGCTAGGAAAGACATTCAATCACAACGGCAGGAGTATTTACCTGTGTGACACCTTTTATGATAAATCAGCATGTGGTTCTGAGTGAATCTTGCACCACACTCATCACAGACAAAAGGTTTTTCCCCTGTATGAATTCTGAAAGTACAACATTCAGATGGTAACTCAGGATGTATTTCAAACCTCACTTTGCAATACAATTTCCACTCTACCCTGCAAAGATAATTTGTTCGACAAGACCTAATGAGAATGACTAGAGTGAAAGGTGAGGAGGCCCATGACCTTCATCCCCAAATCCTCGTCTGCACAAGGCCAACAAACTGATGTGTTTCCCCGTAAGACATTGAATGTCCACCCACACCTGCCTTGGGGTCTATGCTGTATAGCCCATTCAGGCAGAGACCATGCCTCTGCATATTTTAAAAAACACTAAAGATTGTAATATTTTCAACAATAAAAAAAAAACTGAAGAACATCGTCTAATAGTTCTAAAGTTTCCTTATTCAGAATAATCAACCAGAAACACCTTAGGAACTATTGCTATGAAGAACTATGTGACCAAAACTTAACTATCAGATCCTAACTTGTATAACGTAACCAGTCTAGAAAGAACTGTTCTCCATGTGCTGAAGAAACCTGGTTTCTGAAAATGCATAAAATGCATGAGCATTTTAATTTCACAATTAGTATGAAGTAGCTGTCAACAACGAATTTACTGAGCACTTCCTAATGAGCCAAGTTTTTACACTTGTTATGTAGAGTAGAAAGATGAACACCATGCTACTGCCCAAAGACTAGCCCAAGTTTAAGGGCAGATCCAGAATAGGGTAGCAAACTGCTTGTCTGGATTTGAAGCATAAGTACTGAGCACCATAAGGAAACTTACTTAACAGTATCACTCACCTACAGTGCAAAAGTTAACAAACACTGTCCGTGTCCTAATTCTGGAGTTTAAACTACCAGTAGCACAGTTTCTAAGCCCAGACAACAAAAATGATCAGAGAGGTGTCCTAAAATGTCATCTCACTGAAGCCATTAATGGGACTGTGGGACTCAGATGGTCACAAGCCCAAAGACTAAATCAAGTCAGGAAAAGAAAAAAGTTATTGGCATCTGGTGTGGCAGGAATTGTACACACCAGAGGCTCCTCTGGAGAGCCCTGGCCTACAGCCCATGCCAGACAAGATATGCAGGACCTGGCATGTTCAGCAGCCGTACAACCCGGTTCTGTGTCCAGGCTTCTGTGCTGTCACCAGATGAGACGGGAGGTCCTCAGCCTGAGGCCTATAGGGGCATTGTGGGATTTCTGGATTCTGTCGTGTAGACCAAGACCATCTCATAGCATCTCAACCCAGAAAAAGTTCAATGATGTCTCAAAATGGCCCCCAAACTTTTAGAGGAAATAAGTTATGAAACGTAGCCACACTGGTCCAAATCCTAGAACTGCCTCAGTTACTAACACGCATTCCAAGAAAATGAAGTAAACGAGCCATATTCTGGAAACACTCTTTTGAGAGGGTTTCTGCGGCTCCCCACCAGTCGGCCGGAGCCGCGCACCTACCTCATGTGGGTCTTCAGTGCCGAGGGCTGCGAGAACTTGGCCTCGCACTCGGTGCAGCCGTAGGGCTTGTGGCCGGTGTGTGTCCGCTCGTGCAGCCGCAGGGCCGTCTTGGAGCTGAGCCCCTTGCCGCACTGCTGGCACTGGTGCCGCTCGCCGCCGCCCTCGTGGACCTGCACCACGTGCCGCTTGACGTCCTTCTTCCTCTTGAATTTCTTCCCGCAGAGCTCGCAGGGGAAGTGGCGCTCGCTGCTGTGCACGTGGCGCTGGTGGCTCTTCAGGTTGCAGCGGTTGGCGAAGGTCTGGCCGCAGGTGTCACAGCGGTGAACCACCTCGGTGGCCACACCGTGATGGTGCCTGATGTGCTTCAGGAAGCTCTTCTCGTACAGAAACGCCTTTTCGCAGAGCGTGCACTTGAAGTTGTTCCTCCTCTTCCCCTCCTCCCCCTCCCCCTCGC